ATTTATTATATTTATAATTATTATATCTGCAATTTATGTATTAAAATGTTTCCATGTATTATAGGTTGCCTACCAATTAGAAAAAATTGAATTATGAACTCTATAGATTTAAACCATCCAAATTCTGTGCTCTTTCTATCTATGCCTTTTCCTGTCAAATTCGACTGCCTAGATTAATCTATGATTATTTGACTCAGTTTGATTTGACATTAAAATATCGGAAAGGTTTTGTCAATTTGGTTATTTTTGTACTCCGTCAAAGTTTGTAGATTTTTATTTAATTAGTCCTTTCATTGGCAAATAAAATCGGTAAAAATAATCGAGTGACACTAATAGTTTCCTTTATTGTGCGTAATACTGTTGATAGTGCGAAATCTGTTGGCTGTCTTGTGATAATTGTTTTTAGTTTGAATTTTTAACTTTCACTTCGACTCGTTAATTTTATAATTATCCTAAATAAGTGCATCAAATGCAGTCCTTCCAGTTTTTCAAATGAAATATGGAAAGATTTCCACTTAAACGGAGCAGCATGTCAATTCCTCTTCATTCTCCTATTACTTACCAATCTGTTAATAAAGACGTAAGTATACCTTTTTAAGAATATTTATTTGCGTTGCATTGAGATTATTAAAAAATAATTCTAAAATAACTTGGCCATAAGATTTAAAATGCTATTCAATTTCATAAATTTTCAAATTGGTTGTCCTATAGAAAGTAAGGTTATAAAAGTTGCTACAGTATGTAATCAACAACTTCTTATCATTTTTATTGTTATTACCCGTTAGTGCTAATGAGAATTACCCCTCTCTTTCAATTTATTACTTTAGGCAAGTATTAAAAATTGTGCAGAAAACTTGCAACACTATTTCAACTGTTATTAAATTTTTAGATTCAATAAAGTGAAGTAACCAGAATTTAATTGAATAATAATTTACAAGCTATTGTGATTTTTATGGTGAATTATTCACCTCGTTTCAACATAATGGTAGGTATAAAGATAAATATGGAATTAGGTTATTTAAAAATTCATGTTTGTCATGTGAAGAAAACTTTTAACTTTATAATTGAGTACCTATTCAAGTACCAAAATACTATAGAGCATTACTGAAGATTTAATTTCAACGAAATAATAGTATAATACTGCACAATACAATTTTGAGCTTAATGACGAAATAAAGTTGTTTAGTTCAACCGTAATATCACGTGCATTAAACCACAAATTTCGCTTACTTCGAAATACGATTGTTCCAATTTGTAGTTCATGCGATAAGATCTCGAGGTGTTTCAAGTATGAATTCGTATGGATAAAAGCGTTAAAATATGTGATGCAGTCTAAAAATATTAATGAAAATGCCCACTGTACTTTAAAGGTAGAAAAAAGAATGTTCGTTTTGAAATATTTTTCTTTATAAAACCATTACCACGAAGCTTTATAGCTTTAAGTTGTTCAAATTAAAGGAGAAATAAAATAACAAAAATCACATTCGGAAAATGACTGTTGGTTGTAGGTATTATTTTTATTTATAAATTGGTTAAATCATTTTTTTTGACCTAATTTTGCTTTTAAGTAAATGTTTCTAAAAAAGAGTACTTTTGATTTCGTCGTTAATAAATTTTAATTTTTTACGTTGTACCTAGAAATGATTATATTTCCTACTATTTGGGTATAAGTACTTCGTATAGTAAAAGAAAGTATACTTAAGAGTTGTCAATGTTAAACTTATAGGTAATAGCTGTTGAAAATAACATGAAAACCCCAAAAAGTTTTGGTGGTTACTGTGGAGTATTAAACATTGCAATGATAGTAATAACTTTGCTTTACGTGGGAATGGGCTTCTTGGGTTATTGGAGATATGGAGATGATTCTGCCGACAGCATTACCTTAAATTTTCCCCCAAATGACGTGTAAGTAGTACGGATCTGTAATTTTGTTCTTTTATTTCTTATGCTTTAAATTAATTTTAGATTGGCTAAGGTTGTGAAGATTCTTTACTCAATCGCTATATACATTTCATACGGACTTCAGGGTTACGTTCCAGTTGATATTTTGTGGAACACATACATCGTAAAAAAACTGGAAGGCAGTAAACACCTCTTGGTGTGGGAGTACGCTTTAAGGATCTCATCTGTTTTTCTGACTTGTAAGTTTTTGAACGTTTTCCAAATATACCTACAATAATCTATTGAATAAATCACAAAATAAAATGTATTAACAACCGCTTAAAAGTTATCGATGTTTTGTAAATTTAGTAATTTGTCCTTTTGGATATTATAGAGTCTAAAGTAGATAAAATAAGAATATTTCATTAGTAGCTGGAAGGAATAAAGAACCCAAAGATTTTTTCCATCTTAAAATTATTC